CTCAGCAAACACAGTAATCTTAAACAGCTTGAACCAGTTTAGACCTTTAACCTTTCAGATCTGTTGAGACAGAATCCACCACAGTGCTGCGTTAAATACAAAAAAACATTTCAAAGATATAAGCAAGCATCCAAACACTGCTTTGGGGATCCTACTGTGGTATATTAATGGAACCCCTTCTGCTTTCCTATGATACGCGCCAGGCTGTGGATGGAATCCAATAGATCGACGCTCCCGGGGGTAATAGACGTTCCAGCCGTGTATTAGAGCCCTAACCCTAACCTTAACCACCACCTTAATCGTGTTAGATGTTGGGTGGCCAAAAACTGAAGATTTGTCACCAAGCATAACATGTTACACTTTGGGAGTGAGAACGTGCTGATCTGTCAGGAGTTTTCTCACAGTTCTGTTTTTTTATGAAGATGCTCCGTGTGAAACAGCCAAAGCTGACCTAGTGATACTGGTGGATGAGTCTACGAGCATCTCTCCTCAGGACTTCATAAACATTCAGTTGTTTCTCAAGCACTTTGTCAACAACTTCGACATCAGTCTGGACCGAGTGCAGATCGGTAATATTTTTATTTATGCTCTTATTACTACCTGACTGTTACTGTTTCCTTTAAAGGACTTAAAGCTTGGAGAAATATTCAAATACATGTATACCAATTTATTCTTGCTATGAGCTTGTTAACAGTAGTGTGTTTTTAGTGATGTTTTTAACATAAATAGTTTGTATTATGAACAGAATGCTCTGCTGGGTGTTTTCTGCAGGTCTGACTTTGTTCAGCGACACACCAAGGACTATGTGGCACCTGAACACCCACCAGACCAAACAATCCCTGCTGAGGGCCATAGAAGAACTCGAACAAACTGGTGGAGGCACAAACACAGGTGAGTAAGCAGCATATTACCCAGCCTACAGGAGGTTGTCACCATCTGGGAAATGGGATCTAAGACATGGGAGCCAAATGTATTTTATTTCTGTATACAGTTGAATGAAAATGACGATCAAAGTAGTTTTTGCATTCTGACTGTTTTTAAATGGAATCCAACACATTTACATCAGGATAATCTGAAGGGATACATCAGTCACACACTACCAAAGCTCTGATGGTTTCCTGTTGAAATACATCTTGGGGTTTATATTGATCGTGCTTTATCACTCTCCACTTCTTGTTTCCTCTTTCTTGTCACAGGAAAAGCTCTGACACACATCCTCCGTAACCAGTTTAAACCCAATGTGGGAATGCGTCCAGACTCCAAAAAAATTGCTGTTATGATCACAGACGGGGCGTCTAATGATGACATAGAACTTCCCTCAAAGAATTTGAAAGACAGCGGCATTGAAGTCTTTGTTATTGGTGAATAATTTTATTTTTTTTCTATTAAGTCTTAACCATTAAAAACTGTTCTAAAAATAGTTAATGAAAAAAGTGATTTAAACCCCTTTAACTAAATCTGAAAGTCTAAACTTCAGTAACATCTTGATGGTCGGCCCCCTCTACCAGCTTATTTCCCAGTCCCAAAACCAGTTCCAAACAGGGTCATGAACCCTGCCTGAAACTTGGAGCAAAGCCTATTTTAATCCTAAAAACCTTTAAAAACTTACCTAAAACTGTTCCAAACAGTAAGATTTAATTTGCTTCAGCTGTCGGAATTACAAGTTTACAGTGCCGGAGCCCAGTGTGATACAACAGTCTGCCTCACACCAAAGATAACCCTGACACGGGCTGCACAGCTTATATACTGTGAC